GCCCGGGATGGGGCGCTCTGCCCGCGCTTGGGGCGGGCCCGGGAAAAGGGCCGCCCCCGCACACGTGCGCGCGCAGGCAGTGCCCGCGATCCCGGCGCTCCGAGCGGGGGGCGCGCAGCCCCCGCCTCACGCGCGCCTCTCTCGCTTCGCCCGCAGCCGAGAGCCGCCCGAGCGCCTGGGCTGCCGGCCCGCATCTGCACGGCCCGACACGTGCGTGCATGGCTCGCCGGATTCAGGAGGCCGCAGGTGAGGGAGGGGTGAGTCTCTGGGGAGGGGGCCCCGGCGAAGGAGGGGGTCTGGGGGCGCCAGGCTGGATGCCGCCGCCTCCGAGTCTGTGGGTCCGTCCTCCGCGCCTGTGCCTTTGGGACAAAGCCAGGGGAGGCAGGAAGGCTCCCAAGATCGGGGGGGGGGCAGATGTACCCAGAAGGGGCCCGGAAACCTCTGCCTGCCTGGGACAGAGGCTACGTGGAGGCTGGCTGCAGCAGTGGTGAGAGACTCTGCACATGCCTAGAGGTCCTCTTGCCTTTGTATCGCAGGAGCTGAGCCCTGGGAGTCCCGCATCTGCACTTGGGTGATGCCAAACCAAATGCTGCACAGGACCGTGCAGGCTTTGGGGCTGTTCAGGATTCTTCACCAGGCGGGGAGGGGGGCGCGGGTGGATAAACAAACCAACAACCAAAGTGTGGCATGGGGAAAGAACGGAAACGTCCAAACGTCACTCCTGAGGGTTTGCAGAGCAGCTTCGGTGTAAAGACAGAGAACACGGATGGGATGAATTAGTCCCTGGCAGTTGCACCTCTAGGCTGGGGCAGATTTCCTCCACCCCCTGGCATTTCTGAGACATCCTCCCACCTGCCTCTTCCTCGGGGCAAAATGCTCAGAGTCCCGGCTAGGCAGAAAGCAGAAGCAAAGCGCAGCAGGATGGCCTTTCCATTACCCGAGAGGGAATGCAATTTTTGGTGGTGTCACAGTGTCAGTCGCAGCCACGGTGGGTGGCACTGCTCGTGGCAGATCCGTCCCTGAGTAGCTCAGGGTGCAAGCCTGTGAATATGACTCAGTTATTCCGTGTGCAGGCTGCTGTTTTCCTTTCCCCTCCTCTCCATTTTATCCCCACAACACCTGAGAGTCATTGATGTTTCCCCTTCTTACTAACCTTCCTCTTCATTGCCTGGGATAATAGTTTAGAATTTTTACTTCCATATTCGCAGTAGCTCCTCTTTAAGTTCCTCATTGCCGCGTACGCTTTACTTGTACCCAATGCTTCTAATTCTGCTTTGGTCCTTGTAGGTTCTATTCTTTGATCCTGTTTTTTAATGTTCTTCTGTCTCTTTATTTTGACTTCAAGTTATTCCTGTAATTTGCTTCTCTCTTTTTTAAATTTTGCTCCCTCCATTGCAAAATACCCCTCTAAAAATCCTGTTAGACTATCCCATCAAAGTGCGGCTCTATCCGCTCTTTATCATTCATCTTATTTTTTAAAAAATCCTCTAATAATTTGAATAACTTGGGGATTTGTAAGTATACTTGAACTTATGTTCCAAATTTTAGGGTCATTCTCAAGGATTTTCAGAGACCGTGTTCTTTTTGTTGGAGCATGGTCTGACACCAGTATTGGTGCAAATTCTGCTTTCACTAGTAACGGTGCATGGCGTGATCGACTCACACCCTCTCAGCAGACTCCATCGGGTCTCCCGAGTCCCAGTCCAAGTCCGTCACGACTGCACGGAGCTGATTCTGGTTTGGAAGGAAAAGGGCACGGCTGACTGGCGATCGCTGGAGCTGTAGACATGTATGTACCTGAACGGGCATAAGATCCTGCCTTAACAGAGTATTTCCCTGGACACGTGAAAAGCAAGGAGGAGAGAAAATCTAAAATCCACAGTTGGGCCGGCCCAACTGAAATTGTCGCAAAAATGTGCCAGGCTTGGTGTTCCCAAGGGGTAACCACGAGATGCGATGATCCGGGAATGTGAGACCCTCCTCCGGCTCTCGTGAGTGGAAGCGTCTCGGCCCAGTGGCAAAGCGTCTGAGTCAGGCCCCTGTGGGTTTGGGCACAGGGTGAGGAGGCCAGCGGGGTGGCTGTTCCAGCCTTTTCAGACCGAGCAGCTGTCCGCGGAGAACTCCATCAGGAGTGATTTCCCTGCTTCCCTCTAGTCGACCACTCAGTGAGCGAGCCCGGCAGCAGCGACCGTAGCGAACCTGCGAGGGCGGAAAGTCAGCAGGGGCTGTGCTTCTCCGCTGGCTGGGCAGATTCTCTGCAGCCAGCGAGCTCCTGGCTTTCCGGGAACGAGTTCCTTCCCCCCGCCAAGTTGCTGACCTGGAGAAGCTCAGAGGGCCTGGTGGATGAGACCCGTGGGGCCGAGGGAGGTGCCCCGAACCCTGGGCGGCAGCTCCCGTGGAGACGGGGGCTTTGTTGAAGGAGGGCGGCACCCTGAGGAGCAGAGAAACGTTCCCCTGGAAGCAGCGCACTCCCTGGAAGACAAGCAGGTATCAGGTGCGGGGGGTTGTGACGCGTGGGTGGACCTCCTTGTGGATGGAGGGCTCCCTGGTGCGAGGTGGGCAAATGTGGGGTGGCGAGTATGGGGGTGGCGCCGTCTGTGTTGGCCCCAGCGATGCAGCCGGGAGGTCCGGGAGGCCAAAGTGGGCTGGCTGGGTGGAAGGCTGAGTTCCAGGGCCACCAAGGTGGCTCCCTCCTCCACACAAAGGGCCGGCCAGGTGGGGACAGGTGAGGGCTCTCGGAGCGTGGGTGAGACGGTGGTGTCGAGCGGATGGCCCGGATCTGATGGGCACTGAGAGGGGTTTTGACGTGCCCGGAGGTGGGCACCCTGTGGATCAGGCGGCGGGCGCTAAGCTAAAAATGGAGGCAGAGCAGTCCCCACCTGGGGAAAGCTGGCCAGAGCTGGGAAGCGCCTGGTCTGGTCTGGTCATCCCGACCTCGTCAAATGAAAGTGTTTCTGATGGCTCGAAGGTCAGAGGGGAGGAGGTGGGCCGGAGTGGGCATGGGACCCAGTGGACCTGGAAATCAGGAAGGGGCTGCAGGGGACAATACCTGGTGCCAATGCGAATTTAGGCCTGGGAAGGTGCACTCGTCCCCCAGACCAGGATGCTGAGGCCGACCCCGAGGTGCAAACGGAATCAGGGAGGCCCCGCAAAGAGGAAGTGGGCGACTTCCCACGTTGACGGGATAAATGCGCGCTCCACTTCTGGCACGTACATTACATGTCTCACTGTCCTAAATTGCCAAGGCAACGTGGGCATCTGAAGAGGGGAGCTCTCCAAAATGCGGAAACTGGTGAAAGGGGATTGAAAGGGGGGGTCAGGAGGGTTAAATCCATTCCACCTGCTTGGAGGCTACCCAAAACCACAATAATAGAAGCTCAGCTAGACTGCTTGCTTGCTGGTTTCTATCCCGCCTTCCTCCCATGGGGGGCCCAGGGTCCCCGGGGGGCTCCCCTCCCCGCTCAGACCGGCCCCAGACCTGCTTAGAGTCAGCTTGAGATGTGCTTCATGTGCCTTCAGACGTTTCTCTGGGCCTGTCACAGGTCCGAAAAGGGGACTCGGAGTCCAAGAGGTCACTAAACGGGGAAGGAGCAGAGTCTAGGAGGGGGCAAGAAGCCCTCCTTCCAAAGAGGGACCCCTCCCCACGCGAGGAGAGGAGGGGAAGGCAGCAGGTGCGAATGGACGACCCGTTGCAAGGAAGCGCTCTGGGGAGCCACCCCTGAAGAACTCTATTAGATCAGCGGGGGGAAGCCGGCTGGAGAGGCAGGCGGACCCCCGAAGGATGAAGATCTGGGAGGGCTAGAGGAAAATAAATTGTGGAGAAGTTGGGTGAGACGAAAGGCCTCTTCCTCCCTCTCCTAAGACCCAACAAGGGCATCCCATGAAGCCGGCCGGTGGGGGATTCAGGAGAGACTAGAAAAGAGCTTCTCCTCACAGTGCCAAGTTAAGCAGTGGAATTCTCTGGCCCAAAATACCCTGACGGCCCCAGTCTGGTGGCTTGGCAAGGGAGCATTTGTGGAGGAAGAGGAGGCACTAGTCCTAAAGGCAGCCTCTGGTATCGGGGCAGTTGCTGGGGAGCATGGGTCGGAGGGTGCCCCGCACGTGTGCGCTGCTTGTGGGCGCCATGGGTGCAGCTGGTTGACCGCTAGGTGAACGGGGGTCTGGCTTAGCTGAACGTGCAGGGAAGCCGATCGGGAAAGAGCCGGATACGTTCTGTGCAGCCCAGGCTCTGGGAATCCTTCGCCCCGCTCGAGCTCACGCAGGTGGCTGCCTCTCTTCCCCGCAGAGTCCATGCCGGGCCTGGGGGCGGTCCACCCTGAGCCGCCGGACGGGGGCTGGGGGTGGGTGATTGTGCTGGCCGCCTTCGCCCAGTCGGCCCTGGTCTTCGGCGTGATCCGCTCCTTCGGGGTCTTCTTCGTGGAGTTCGTGGCGCACTTCAGCGAATTGTCCGGACGCATCTCCTGGATCACGTCCATCGGGATCGCAGTGCAGCAGTTTGCCAGTGAGTAGCGGGGGGGGCGGGGGGCGCTTCTCGGGGTGTCCGAGACCAGGAATTGCAAGCTGCGCCCTTCCCTGTGGGCTGTGGGGCCACGGAGTCGCGTGCGCTGCTGTGAGCGGCAGGCGGCTGTGGAGAGTCGGGAGCAGGAAGCCAGAGCCCTGGAATTCCGTTCCAGGATTGCGAGACGGGTCCACCAAAAGCCAGTATGGCAGACTGGTCGGGCTGTGGGCCCGGGACGCAGGAGGTCCGGGGTCTAGTCCCCACCTCGCCGTGAAGCTGCCCGGGCGACGTGAGGCCAGCCACAGACCCCTCCTGGCCTCCCTCACAGGGTTGTTGTGAGGGTGACAGAGAAGGATCGGGTCGGCTGCCTTCAGCGCCTCACAAGGGCAAGCAGGAAGAGCAGTGCAGCCAGGAACTGGGTGGGGAAGCGCTTGGGGACGTGCTCGGGGCTCTTTCCGTGTGCGGCAAGGCAGGCGGCTGCGCCCCGCTCGACAGGACGCTGCAGTCAGGACCTTTCCTCTTGGCAGGTCCCGTGGGCAGTGCCCTGAGCTCCTGCTATGGGGCCCGCCCGGTCATCATGGCTGGGGGGTTCTTCTCGGCCTTGGGGCTCTTCCTGGCGTCCTTTGCCAGCTGCCTGGCCCACCTGTACCTCTGCATCGGGCTCCTGTCAGGTTTGTTCCTCCATCCCTTTACCTGCCTGCGTCTTGTCAGCGTCTGGCACCAAAACCATCTTCCTCCCCCAGCCCATTACAGCAACAAACCTTCCCTGGCCGAGGATGATGGGAAGTCTCGGGAGGGTGCCCAGCTGGGGAAATCTGCAGTAACCCACTTGCGCCTGTTGGACTGGTGCCGTTTGCTTTGCTTCTGCAATCCAGAAAGCGGAAATCTTTGCCCAGAAAGTTGCGGGGAACTGGAAAGGGGTGGAAAGGGAGCGTTAGGAAAGGGCAGCCGGTGCTTTGCCATCAACCAGGGCGAAGGTGGGCGACTGCCAGGCCCGCGTAGGCTCCTGTGGGGCCACACCATTCCTCACGTGGGGCTCAAACCTGGACTGCACGTTTTCTTGCCCTACCTGCGGGACAGCCGGACAATCCTGCAAGGTGCAGAATCCGGCCTTGTCCGAGACAGCTGCCATAAGGAAGCCTTTTTGAATGGATCTCACCAACGCCGGTCTCTGTGACGCGAGGGCGGAGCCAACGGGGGCCTGGATCTTCCTGCACGGGGAGCGGCTGATGTCGGGGCAGCCCCCTCGGGAATATCGCACAGGCCAGGCCGCTGTCGCTCCGTCGGGAGGCGCACGGGCCGCTCTCCGCTCACGGCGCCCCTCCGCCCTCGGCAGGTTTCGGCTGGGCGCTGGTCTTCACCCCCTCGATGGCTTCCGTGGCACGCTACTTCGAGAAGCGCCGGATGCTGGCCACGAGCCTGGCGCTGACGGGCGTGGGGCTCTCCTCGTTCGCCTTCTCCCCGCTCTTCCAGCTGCTGGTGGACGTCTACGCGTGGCGCGGGGCCCTGATGATCGTGGCCGCCATGTCCTTCAACCTGGTGGTCTGCGGGGCCCTCGTCCGGCCCCTGGCCCTGACGGGGGACCCGCTGCGCCCGCCCCAGGGCGGCCTGGTGGGGCTGAGCCGGAAGACGCTCTCCTCGCTCTTCGGCCTGCACCTCCTCGCCCACTGCCCCTTCATGCGCTTCGTCTGCGCCGTGACCCTGATCAACACGGGGTACTTCATCCCCTACATCCACCTGGTGGCCCGGGCGAGGGAGCTGCGCGTGGACGAGTACCAGGCCGCCTTCCTGATGTCCGTGGCGGCCGCGGCCGACCTGTGCGGCCGCCTCTTCTCCGGCTGGCTGGGCAGCTGCTGCCGGGCCGTGCGGCTGATCCACCTCCTGGTGCTCTGGACCCTGCTGACGGGGGCCTCGCTGCTGCTGCTGCCCTGGGCCCGCACGTACCCGCCCCTGGTGGCCGTCAGCCTGAGCTACGGCTTCTTCTCCGGAGCTCTTTCGCCCGTGGTCTTCTCCATCATCCCAGAGATCGTGGGCATCGGGAACATCTTCAGCTCCATGGGGCTGCTGCAGATGATCGAGAGCATCGGGGGGCTCCTGGGGGCGCCGCTCTCAGGTAGGTCGTGCTCCCACTTCCTGCCCCCCCCCCAGGAATCATCCTCCCAGCATGCGCAGGATCGGCCCCGGTTCAGTGCACTGCGGGACCAGCTCGGAGCTGGCTGCAGGCTGGAGGAGTGCATGCCACGGCCATCCAGAATGGCGCTCAGCACGGGCCGAGTCACTCTTGTTCTCCAGAAAGCACCAGGGCCCGCATCCTGCACATCTTGGCACGGCGGCTGGAGCGTTCCAGCAAGAGTTTCCCGGCATTTCTCTCTCCCTCGAAATTAAGCACAAACGAAGCCCTGCGATCAAGTGCTGGACCTTTGGGGGGGGGAAGCGGGTTTGGGCACAGCCAAATGTGAGGGCGGGGGCAAAATTCCGCCCCCTTTTAGCCCAAAGCTGCAGCTGGCAGTGAGGAAGTCTCAGGAGGGGCGTTTCCCATTTTTGGAACTTGGGAAAACCACAACAGCTGGGGGAGGCCGAGAGGGGTGCTTTGGGAAGGGGCCTGGAGCCATGTGAAGACTGGCTCTCTGGCGCGAGCGTCAGCCCCCCTGAAGGCATGTCCGAGCCGGAGGCCTGGACTGGGCCTCTCTGGCCGCACTGAGGGCCCCTCGCCGGCGCGTTCCGGGTGGCCCACCCGGCCCAGGCACTCCCGACTCCTCCCCCCGACTTCTCTTCCAGGCTTCCTGAGGGACTTGACGGGGGACTACGTGGCCTCCTTCTTGGCCGCCGGCGCCTTCCTCGTGGCGGGCAGCCTCGTCCTGCTCACCGTGCCCGGCTTCTGCAGCCGCCCAGCCTCGGCAGCGCCACAGGAACCCAGCGCCAGGGCGGAGGCCGGGGCGGGCCCCCCCTCGTCGCCAGAGCCTCGCCCTGTGGTGGTCCTCGCTTCGCCCACGGCCACCGTGCCCGGGGCAGGGCAACTGCTCTCGGCCAGCTGATGCCCGTGCCGTGACCCGGGGCAGCGGTGCGATGCGGGGCGGAGGGCCGAGCGCCGTCGGGGCCGGTGAACCAGGTGCCTCCTCCGCCCAGGAGAGCGGCCTGGCGTGCGTCCGGCTTGGCTCAGCCGCGAGCGATGCAGGCCCAGGTCTTGCCCGGCTCCCCCGAGGTGCAGAAGGGAGTTCCAAGGCAGGCCTCTCATTGCTGCTGTTTGTGGCATCCCTGACCGGGCCGCCTTTCCTCCAGAGAAGTGAGCCGGGCCTCCCAGCACCCTGCGTGCCCCCCTGCCTCTAGGGAGCGCTGCCGGAGCCTCGCCAGCAGGCCTGGCCCTCGTGCCGGGCTCCCCAGGCCGGCCTGCAGAGGCACCGGGGCTGCCCTCCTTCCTTCGGGGCCCCTCGGAAGGGCGGAGAGGTGCGGCTCCAGGGAGAGTCGGAAAGGCACGTTCCCTGCTCCAGGGCGACAGCTCTGCGTTGGTGTACTTGGCGATGCTCCTGCCCTGGGGGGCACTTCGGGGAAGGCGGCTCCCCCCACATCGCTGCCCCACCCGCCCACAGAGATGACCCACGGGCTGCGTCGGCGGAAGGAGCCCCTCCTGCCTCCGGTGCTTCCTGGTCTAGGACCAATCATGTTCCGAAAGGCGAGATGGAGCCACTTCTGGGGAACGGTGCTCATGTGCCACAGCAGGAGCCGGAGGGCAACTCCGAAAGGGGGGATTTCTCTCCCAGGGAGATGCAGGAAGGCGCTAATCCCCCCCCCCATGCTGCCCTCCCTGGTCCAGCAGGAGAGGGCGCACCTCGGCGCTCTGATGGGCACATGGCCAGCCACTGCACGGAATCGCTCTGCCCCGCCGTCCCCCTGGGCCTGGGCCTCTCCAGGGCTGGAGGATCCTCCAGTGGCCCGAGGAGCAAGGTTTCTGCCTGGAAAGGGTCGCAGATTGTGATTTGCGGGATCTGGTCTCCCGACAGCTCCCCCTCGGGCCGTGGCAGCACGGCCGACAAACCCTCAAAGGAGGGTGGGGTGGGGTGGGGTGGGGTGGGGTGGGGTGGGTTACCCCCACCCTAACCTTAACCCTTTTGCAACGCGGGCCCCGCTTCCCCTCCTCAAGTGAGCGCAATGAGGCTCCTGGACCTCTGGCAGGCCGAGCTGCCTTCTGTTGCTCGACACGCAGGGGCTTCCCGATCCCCCAGCCCCCTGGGTTTGCAGACCGCCGGACGTTCTCCCCTTCGCGTCCCTGAGAGGGCGGGAGCCGCACTCCCCCTCCCCACAGTTGTGGGGTCCATTTCTCAGCCTTGGTCTGGAGGCTCAGTTCTGGGTCCGCAGCCCAGCGGCTGGGACAGGAGTGGGAGAGCCTTCCCCAGCCAGCCGCCTTCCAAGTTTGTTGGACTACTGCACCCATCATTCCCAGCCAGCACAGCGAGAAGCATGCTCGGTGGACAGTGGGAGCTGTAATGCAACTCATCTGGAAGGCATGAGGCAGGGGAGGCTGGAGCAGAGAGTCCGCCCTGAAATGGAACGGGGTGACACTGCATTTTATTTCGGAGAAAGATGTGGAACCTCCCCCCACCCTTTCTGGAACTTTCTTTTTATTAATATAATTCCTTAAAATTGTCACAAGAGATGGCTTGAGTGGCTTACCTAATTTAGGTGCTTCCCAGACACCTGAGCCTTTCCGGCATTGCCTGGGGAGGTGGTGGGCTCTCCTGGGATCAAGGTGCGGCTGGACAGCCCCTCTCCTGGCTGCCTCGCCATGGGGTCCTGCCTCGAGCGGGGGGCCAGACTTGAGGGCCTGAGGGGCCCCTCCCAGCTCTGCTCGCCAAGGGGCCTGGGAAGGGACAGGCCTGGTGTTTGCCGAGCCCCTGAACCCTCCGTGTCCTTTCCACGGAGCGTTTAGCTGGTGGGATCCTCCGGCTTTGCTCTGGCTTGGTAAATAGCCTGGCATTCACCGCAGCCTGGTTATTTTCCCCGTTAACTTGCCATCTGGCCTCTTCTGCCAAGGCTCCCCCTTTTGCTGCTTGGCGTTCGGGGGGAGCACACCCAGCCTGCCATGCGTCCCAGTGCGGGGTGAGGGCTCCCCGCTGCGCTAGCCAGGTTGGCTGCCCCAAATCTTCCTGAGCTGCATGGGGAGGAGTTTGTGGGGGGGTGGGCAGCACCCCTCGCGGGGAGGCAGTGGCAGCCCCTGTGGCCTTGGCCAATTCCGGATGCAAAGGACGGCTGGACAAAGGCATCCAAGCAACCCTAAAAGGAGAAACCCAGTTTTTAATTCCTCAATAAAGAAGTGCCACGTTTTCTCTCTCTTCCATAGTCCTTGTCTTTGTTACTGAATCTGTGACAAACTTCTGGATAGAGTGTTGCCCTCTGCACATTCTCAGAGGCATTTCCTTAGTCCCTTCCCGATTTCAAGGCCCTGGAAAAATGTTTTGGTAGCTGGCTGCCTGGGAAAGAGATGAGTAAAAAAAAAGGAGGGGACAGAGTTCGCAGCATCTTTGGGAAGTTGTTGGGCTGGAGTGGGTTGCTGGCTGTTCTCCCAAGCTCTTTAAAGGACTCCCCAGTCTGGAGAATGGAGACGGGAGGAGTGTTTTAGCTTAGAAAACAGGTGATTCAGGCCAGGAGGAGACCCTGGAAGAGTCCTGCTGAATCAAGCCCGGAGTCCATCCAGTCCAGATTCTGTTCACACAGCAGCCAGTCCACTGTCCACAGGATCTCACCCTCCAACTGGAATCCCAAGGCGCACTGGCCTGGTGCTGGAGGTGGCAGAAAACCATGAGGACTAGGGCCATTGGCCGTCTTCTGCATGAATGTGTTTAAGCCCTTCGTGACGTCCGCGGCATCATGGCAGAGGCCTTCCTGCCCCAGTGCGGAGTTGATCTCCGGAACGCGCTGCCCCATGGAATACCCATGGCCGAGAGGCAGGGCGGCCATAAGAAGGAATCTGGCCACTGCAGGAGGTTGTCAGCAGCACCTGGGTGGGACCGGAAAACACGCAAGCACTTTGGGCCACCCTGCAGAGAAGGTGGGGGGCTGCTGCCAAGCTCTGCAACGATCCAGGGCTCCAGCCACAACCCAACAACGCCCTTGCATGGTGTGCCTTTGAAGGACGCCAAGGACAACGGGAGGCGTGAGCTGCAACTGCTGCCGGATGTGGGAACCGGGCCAGTAACTGGGAGCAGGCATGTGAGCGGGGAGCCACCGATCTGCCTCGTGTGTGTCGGCTGCCTGCGTGTGTCCATCCAGGCTCAGGGCACTAATTTTAACATCAGAGGTTCGGGGCCACAATGCCTCTCCCGACAGAAGTCTCCCCAAATGCTACAACCAACTTCTCAGGCCTTCCCCCAAGCCCCTTCTCCTAGGGAGCCTCAGGATGTGGTGACAAGAGGCAGGGCCTTCTTCGTGGTGGCCCCCAAATAGCACAACGGATCCCCCACAGAGACCTGCCTGGCGCTACTGTGCGCATCATTTTGGCATCACATGAAGGCTTCCCTCAACTCATCACATGGGATGGGCATCCTGAAGAGGTCCTAGCACTGGAAGTGTTTATTAAAATGGTTTCTAGCTGCTTAAATTGTTTTAAATGTTTTACATCCATTTTATACTGCATTTTATTATACTGTTATACCGTGTGATACTATATATTGTTGGGGTTTGCAAATTTTGAGTGCTGCTGTGAGCCGTCGCTGGAGGCGGCTGGTGGCTCGGTGCTAGTCTGATCCTGCCCTTAGGAAAAGCTCACCGCTTGCTCTGGCAGGCGGCTAAACGTGGCCGGGCCGTGTGGGTGGACTTTGCTTTGGTCTTCCTGGCCCGACTCACTGCCTGCAATGTTTGTTTTGCCCTTTGGAACCTGTTTTCCCTTCTCAGCAATAAAACGAGCATTCCTTTAAAAGAAAAAAAATTCCTTTGTGTGACAGGGACCAGCTGTTTAATTCTTTAAAATTATCTTAGGACACCTGCAAGGGTGAAACCCTCTCAAGACCACACAGCACTCTCCACCACACACAATAAGCAACGATTATACAATAAAATATGATAAACTATAACAATGTTCAACTATGACATTCACAGTCCTGGATTGGCACTAAAAATCTTCCTCCCTTCCTCCCTCCCTTCCTTCCAACATCTTAAAGTCATTCTGCTTTGCATGACTTTCTCAGCCGGACGCCCCGCAGAACCATCACACCTCCACGGTCTTCATTCCCACAACCATCGCAACTTGCCACTGGTTATGCTGGCTGGGGCTGATGGGTGCCGTATTCCACGTGGCAGGCACCTGGCTGGGGAAGGCTGTGCTGGGGAGCAACTCCGAGGAGAAACCCATGCTCCAAAGCTGACCTGTGCACTTCGCAGGATCGAGTCCCGACGGAGACGGGGCTGGCGGTATTTTTGGTCCTCGGGACTCCGGGGGCAGAGCCTGTCCTTGGATGACTCGGCCCCCCCGGCCCCCGCCCCACATGCTTCTGGCGTCATCTTGCAGAGGGGCCGAGATGAGACAGCGCAGCATCCTTCGGGCTGCACACCCTTTGCCAGGCAGAAAAGGGACGCTAGAAATGAAACCAGGTGAGATGCTGCTGCTCCCAGGTACCTCTGCTGCCGAAGCAGGTGGGGGGCAGGAGGCCCATGCGGGGCGCTTTTCTCAGAGGGCCTAGGGAGACCCACATGTAAACCCTTGGGCCAATCATGTTCTGGCTCTCGGGATAGCCTACCTCGCAGGGTTAAAGTGCAGGTCATGTCGCAGGAGTCTTCTAAGCCACGCTGAGACCCCTGTAGGAGATGAGAGCAAATGCAGCGATTATGAGATGCTCTGTGAAGCAGGAAGGCCTGCGTCCAAATCCACATGCATTTGGGTGGCCTTAGGCAAGCCGCTCCCTCTGAGCCTCAAACCATCTGCACCCTCTCTGCAACATGGGAAATAACATGGGCTTATTAAGCACTGTGCAGTCTTGAAGAAGCTATATAAATGTTAAATATCATTACAGGGAATGAATATATAAAATGCTCATGATTAGATTAGAGCCCAGATTGGGGTGGAGGCTTTTCCCCAGTACTGCTTTCTGAGGGGGCTCTTTTAGGGGTCCAGCCCCGGAAACCCCCCTCGCCCGAAAGGCAGGGCCCGAGGTACGCAAAACGGCACTCAGCCCCTGGCTAATTGTGGGCTGTCCAGAAACGAGGCTTCTGCTGGGGGGGGGGGGTCTCACAGCTTCACCTAGCCCTCGCCCGCTCCCCATGATCTGCAGCAGAACGAATAGCAAGCCATCTACATTTCTGCAACACCAGCTTCCTTTTCTTTTGAATCCCACTTTCCACCAAAAAAGGTCTCTCAGACAACCAGTAACTGAAGAGCAGAACAAAAGACAGAGGCAACTGCTGCCAACCAAACACCGTTTTAGTTAAAAAGCAAATTATGCTACCATATGACATCAGCCTGTGACTCCGAAATACACGGCACGCTTCCTTGGATTGTCTTTGCCAATGAGTTTAAGCAAAGTGAAAAGGGAATTATTCATCTGTTCCAATGCACCTGAAACAATTTAGATTTAATAACAATCAAGTTTAGCATGACCAATGTGCAATGCACCAGAAGTTCTTTGGATCACCCTAATCTAATAATTTTGATTTCTTCATTGTGGGGCTTGGATGTGAGAACCCTGGCAGGCAGTATGAACCAGCCCCACTTGGATCCAGCCCAAAACCTTTCTTCCAGGGTCAGACAAAAACAAGACGGGGCAAGAAACTCCTCTGAGCCGATGCAGAACGGCGTTCCGTCATGCTGGCGACTCTGGCCCCGTCAACACGTCTGAAATGCGGCCCGTCACGCAGAGTACTTCCAAGGAGGGCTCCAACTTGGGCTTAGACAGAAGCTGGTCCAAGTCCGTTCACCCAAATCGTTTGGCTGAAATCCGTCGCAGCTGGAGTGGCCCAGACCAAAGAGTTCATTGGCTGGAAGCGGGGATGAGTTAAGGGTGCCGAGACTTTGTCCTGGGAGCTGGCTTGCCTCGGTGCATTTGCAAGATGCAGCCAAATGAACCATCAGATCCTCGAAAGCTCCGGATTTCTTGGAGTGGTGGCGAGGTAATGCAGGCTGTGCCTTCGGATCGTCAGTGCGGGGGTCTTGGCTCCCCCCCCCCGTGCCAGGGAGACCCTCGGCCCTGACGGGACCGTGAGGAGGGCGGGAGACAGTCGGCAAAGCACCTTTCCCCCAGTGGCTGAAGGAGCCGGAGAGGCCAGTGGAGCTCGGTGGGACGGCCGGGAGGTCCAGTCACACATCAGCCAGGCCTCTTCCTCGTTCAGCCGCAGTTGGTCCGGCTGGGCTTCTGTGCCTTTGTTTTGAAATCTATCGCCCGCGTCTCAAAGCTGGAAGCCACCTTGGGGGTGTTTGCGGGGGCAGAACCGGGAGGTGGGAACCTTAAGAATTCGGCAGCCTGCTTCATCCAGCTCAGCCTTTGGAGAGCTCAAACTACTGGCTCTGTGCGAGCGACCTCGGAGTTGATCCCATAAAGGCATTTGGCCACGTGGGGCTCAGCCGTCCCGCACCCCCTTCCCAGCTGCCTCCGGCTTGGTGTTTAAACACGAGTTGGCTTGCCGGTGCCCCGTGTTTCGTGGAAGAGCGACAACGCTGTTCTGTGCCACGACGGGCTTGCGGCGAGGATGGCAAAGTCCTCGCGGGCTCCGGCTTGGCCCACCGTGCAGCTGTGGAAGTGCAGGGGTTAAGTCCGGTTAGCAACGCCAGAGGAGGAAAAGCAGGTGCCTTTCTTCCCAGGAAGATCTTGGGACAGAGCGCTTGGCGGCGCCTCTCCGCCTAAGGCTGAAGTCCGGTTTGGAGAAGCCCTGGTGCGTTGGCCGGTCAGACGCAGACACGGTGCGGCAGAAATGCCAAAGCGCTTTTCCATAAGGCTCTTCCTGCCAGCAACTCGGACAGAAGACTGCCTGAATGGGTGGAAACTGCATAAAAGCCAATAATCCCCAGAATGATTGGCAGGGAGGGGAGGGGCCACCTGGGAACCCTACCAGGGCCGCATCCGGCCTGCCGCTGTGAGGTTCCCCGCCCCCGCCTTAGGAGAAATTTGCTGGTTTGGTTCAGATTTTGTATAGTCTCTCCTGATGGGACTCCTGCGAGGCTCACCTTATCCCCCTGCTCTTTCTACTTTATCCTCACAACAACCCTGCGAGGTAGGTCAGGCTGAGAGTCAGTGACTGGCCCAGCGCCACCTGGTGCTCTTCACAGCCGAATGGCACCTGAGCCGGAGTCTCCGCATCCCAGTGCTGTGTACCTCGTGCAAGCAGGGGCAGGAGCAGCTCTCTGGGCAAACGCTGGCTCGTGGGGGCAGCGACGAGCGGACATCCCTGCGGCCTGGAAGCCGGACTTCAGCGGGGTGCCGGGGCAGACGCCAAGCTCTGGGGTCCCCCCCTCCAGCACCACCTCTGAGTGGGCTTGCTGAGCAGAAGCTGCTGCAGGATCTAATTTGGAGGCCAACTGAAACCCCATCCGTTTCCCACTCCGGCCCCAATCCCGTGCCCATTTAACCCCCCTCTTTCTGGCATCATCCAACCTGGTTGTTTCTCAGCCTTCTCTTTCTGTCCCCACCCCTCTTTTCAATCCCCCCGGAAAGGAGCAGGGCTCCCCGGCTCCCCAGATGCCATCCTCTGACCCAGTGAGCAGCTGGGGGTGGGTGGTCGTCCTTTCGGGCTTCGTGCAGTCGGCCCTGGTCTTCGGCGTGATCCGCTCCTTTGGGGTCTTCTTCGTGGAGTTTGTGGCCTATTTCGAAGAATCCTCAAGCACCGTCTCCTGGATCCCATCCCTCGGGGTGGCCATCCTGCAGTTTGCAAGTAAGCCATGGTGTGTGACATTGCCGGCGGCCTGGGACTGGGGCAGGTATGGAGATGTCGCCCGGGGTCACCCTCTCCTTCTGCAGAATGATTCCTGCCAACGGACAATACCCACTGGAATCATACACGTTAAATACAAATGCACATTCATTTAACTATGCTGGAAGAAAGTGGTGACGTTCTTTTAGCCTGAGAGCTTAACTCTGTTTTCGGAGACACCCTCCAGGCCACGGGCTGGGGTGGGCAAGGCTGAAGACGAAGAGACAGGACCCAAAATGCCGAAAATACCCGCGTACTTTAGCTTTCAGTTCCTCCTGCATCTAACCCTTGAATGTGCCTTTTCGGTCTTTTAGGATGGCAGCGTGGAGGAAGCAGGAACAGCACAAAAGCACAGGAACCAGCAAGTGTTCTCCAGGGAAAGAAGGGGGGTGTCCTCAGGGCCCCCCGGGGTCCCCCATTCTGCACCCATACTTCCTGATGTTTCTTTTTATTGCATTTTAAAGATTCTGGAGTCACAGAGTATCCCTCTGCTTGCTCTAATGGTCCTTGCCAGGCTTATAGCAATAGATTGTGTATTAATTATGTGATGGCACAGAACCTGCAGGAGAGCCACGCTTGCAAAGAGGCTGGAATTGTCCCGGCTGCTGAGCTCGGTTCATCCGGAAGGCCTAGTCAACCCCTCACAAATTAGACAATACTATGGGATCAAAGGGACTGCAGGTGGCGCAGTGGTTTAAACCGCTGTGCTGCTGGGCTGGTTGATCAAAAGGCAGCCAGTTCGAATCTGCAGAACGGGGTGAGTTCCCATTGCTCCGTCCCAGCTCCTGCCAACCTTGCAGTTCGAAAGCATGCAAATGCAAGTAGATGAAAAGGTGCCACTTTGGTGGGCAGGTAGCAGCGTTCCGTGCACCTCGGTGTTTAGTCACGCCGGCCACATGGCCACGGAGACCGTCTGTGGACAAACGCTGGCCCCCTCGGCTAGGAAACGGAGATGAGCACCGCCCCAAGAGTCAGGCATGACTGGACGTAACGTCAAAGGGAAACCTTTACCTTTACCTATGGGATTAAAGTCAGTCAGCTAATACAGCTGAAGAGCGGATCTCTTTCTCGGCTGTGTGTTCATCCAGCAACTCTTCTGCTGACGTGCTTAACGGGAGGCAGCCCCGGAACCGGCTCCCTTGTCCTGAGGGTGCCCCTACCAGTGTCTCTCTGCTCTCTGCCTAGGCCCGCTGAGCAGTGCCCTGGCCGCCCGCTATGGGGCTCGCCCCGTCGTGGTGCTCGGAGGCTGCCTCGCTGCTCTCGGCCTGATGCTGGCCTCCTTCTCCGTCACCATCACCCACCTCTACCTGAGCGCCGGCCTGCTCACAGGTGTGTGCTCCGCCGGGCCCTCTCCCTGTGGGGGACGCTCTCCTCCGCACTCCCCTGCCCCTGGGGTTTGAAAGGTGGGGGGGGTGGAAAACCCTTCTCTAAAAGGGTGCGAGGAGGAAGGGGCTGTTCTCCACCCCAGAGTCAGGAAAGCCCCTTCCAAGAGGTTCTTTCCCAGACATGCACCGTCCCTTCCGGTTGCTTCCCGCTTTTTCAGGGAAAGGGTTGAGGCAGCCCCTCTTCAGCTTCCAGCACGTCCCCCTTCTGGATCTTCCAAGGTCCGAGTCAGGGCAGGGCCAAAATCTAGAATGGTGCTCAGCACTGGATTCCTTTGGCCCAGGGGAACAAACAAGTACTAAGAAAGAGGGCGGTGTACCCGAGAGCATGTGCAGAGTGCCTTGCCGCTTCATAATCGCAGGCCGGGGGAGGGGCAACCTGGAACCCTGACCGGGTTTCAACTGCAGATCAACAGGGCTTGAAGGGGAGCGGGAGGCCTGGGGGAAACGGGGGGGGGGGGCGGGCCGGGGGGGCCGCGCGCGGGGGGGGGGGGGGGGGGCGTCGGCCGCGCGGCCCCCTCTCACGGCGCCCCTCTCTCCGCACACAGGGCTGGGCTGGGCGCTGGTGGTCACGCCCTGCGTGGCGACCGTGGCGCAGTACTTCGAGCAGCGGCGCACGCTGGCCACGGGGCTGGCGGCGGCGGGCGCGGGCGTCTCGGCGCTGCTGCTGCCGCCCGCCTGCCAGCACCTGCT